GTAGGCCTATCCTCCAAGATGCCCATGATTCATTAAAAATCCAAAAGGATTCACTTAAATAGAAAAAAAAGAGTCATTTACAACACGTTCGTACCTGGTGCACAGGATTCACTTAAATATAAAAAAGAGTCATTTACAACACGTTCGAACCCGGTGCAAACCAACAAACAATGGCCTTCCGACTCGTTTGAATGGCATTAAAGGCGCAGATATGTTGCTGCGGTCGTGCCCAGCGTGCGATAATTGAAATTTGCAATAGCTGAGATCGAGTGCAGCTAAATCATTTTCATGTGATGCGTATTGCTGCTACGTGATGTACTCTACACTGGTTCCCTTCACGATCAGTAGCGTCAGAATTTTATGAGCGGATACCAGTTGATCTTCAAACGTGTTGTATATGACTCATTTTTTCATATTCAAGTGAGTCCTGTTGGATTTTCAATGAATCCTGTTATTCTTGGAGGACTACCGTATGCGGGTCAGTCTTATGTGAAGAAGTTCTGATATGTGGGAGAAAAACAAAATGACAAAAGGAGGCCCCTGTACCGCTGGAATCATTGAACATTATTTCCAGTCCTAAACGGCGAGGCAGGAGCTTTAGCACTGGAATTATTCAAACTAAATTTAAGTTATAGATCTTGACGTTAGTTTAACTTAAAAGGCAGCCCAGTACCAGTGGAAGGGTTGAGCGCAATCTCGACCCTTGCGCAAACTTATTGTACTCCATCCCAGGTTGATTTTCCTTTGAATGCAACCCATTCATTAGAATGATTATCAAATCAGAAGGGAGTACAATAAGTTTGCGCAAGGGGTCAATATTGCGCTTAACAGATATTTAACGCACGTTAGATGGTCATGCCGCAGCCCAATAAACTGATAAATGTGGCTCAAGTACTGGACTTGCTTTCGTACTATTAATCCATATGTCCTTGTGCACAAATTTTGGGCGGAATTTCCCCCCCCCCAAAAAAAAGTTCGGCAACACACAAACACGATAGCGTCCATATTCCTCTAATCTGCTTGAGGTCAAAGTTCAATATCGTGGTTTCAAAATTCCACTGCACACGTGCCAACTTTTCCACAGCGGATTGGTGACTGTTGCCTGTCATTTAGGATTCTTCGGCCTGAAGACGTGCACCCGAATGCGTGATCTGTAACTGTTCGGCAAGGACCAAATGACAGGCAACAGTCACAGATGCGCTGTGAAAAAGTTGCACGTGCATTGTATCACGACCCTTGACCTCAAGCAGATTACAGGAATATAGACGACATCGTGTTTGTGTGTTGTCGAAATTCCGTAGAATTCTGCCCAAAATTACAAGAATTAGACTAACTTAATTCATGTTTTCCCTCAATTAAATAATCGTTCCTTTAATTTAGATTACGTATTTAGCCGGTGACGGCAAAATTACAGGAAACGAGATTTCGCCAATTGTCTTTTCTAATAATATCAATGTCATATTCGCTTTCAGATTCGGACAACTACATGTGGGCCTACATTAGATCAGAGTTTGCTCCTTCACGTCCTTCCGTCAAGTTGTGCTATGGTCTACTGGGTACCGGTACTAGTGGTGTGGCTCCTGAGCGGAGGGTTGTTCTTTTGATCCAGCTTCGAGGCTTAACGGAAGGAATCTTCCTCTTTTTCCCTTTCTTGTTTTGGCTTTCTTTTGCAGTTTTTCTCCTTAACAGTTTAGCCCAGTTTGGCCTATTGGATGGTGACAGCTTTGAAAATAACAGCGATGCTGTTCAAACCCCTCAGCCAGAGTCAAGTTTTCATCCGAAAACCATAAACCTTTTACTCAACATAGTGACCTTGATCTTTGGCCTTTGACCCCAGAACCAGTCCCAACATGCCTGTACCAATGGGATGCCCCCTACCTAAGTTAGACACCAAAATTTCATTTCTAACTCAAGTTATCATTAAGAACCATTGACATTTAACTCACCACAGTGACCTTGACCGTTGAACCCAAAAACCGATCCCAACTTGCCTGTACCCAAGGGATGCCCCCTACCTAAGTCAGACACCAAAATCTCATTTCTAACTCAAGTTATCATCCGGAAACCATTTACCTTTAACTCCCCATGGTGACCTTGACCTTTTGACCCCAAAACCAATCCCAACTTGCCTACTCCCAAGGGCAACCCTCTACCGAAGTTAGACATCAAAATCTCATTTCTAACTCAAGTTATCATCCGGAAACCATTTACCTTTAACTCACCACGGTGACCTTGACCTTTGACCTTTTGACCCCAAAACCAATCCCAACTTGCCTACTTCCAAAGGCAATCCCCTTCCAAAGTTAGACATCAAAATTTAATTTCTAACTCAAGTTATCATCCGGAAACCATTTACCTTTAACTCACCATGGTGACCTTGACATTTGACCTTTTGACCCCAAAACCATTCCCAACTTGCCTACTCCCAAGGGCAACCCCCTACCAAAGTTAGACACCAAAATTTCATTTCTAACTCAAGTTATCATCCGGAAACCATTTACCTTTAACTCACCATGGTGACCTTGACATTTGACCTTTTGACCCCAAAACCATTCCCAACTTGCCTACTCCCAAGGGCAACCCCCTACCAAAGTTAGACACCAAAATTTCATTTCTAACTCAAGTTATCATCCGGAAACCATTTACCTTAAACTCACCACGGTGACCTTGACCTTTGACCTTTTGACCCTAAAACCAATCCCAACTTGGCTACTCCCAAGGGCAACCCCCTACCGAAGTTACAACCCCAAACGGCGTTTCTTACTCAAGTTATTATCCAGAAACTGAGCTGCCCGGACGGACGGACACACATCCAGACCTACGTCCGGACGGACGGACGGACGCCCTAGGCGATGACAATACCCCTCTAGCCTCTCGGCTGAGGGTTAAAAATAAAACCACACAGAACGTGTCCACAGTACTCAAACTCTTCACAGTCTCTGCAGGGAAACCTTTCAATCCGAAGTAAAACAAACTAGTTTTTAAAGCATAAATGGAGATTAATTTCTCACCACTCCACTGCACTGTGAACTGTCATGCTCTTAACATGTCCAACCACTCTGGACAGTACTGACTTTGTATTGACTTTCAGCTGATGAACGTAGTGAATAGGTCTAATTTGTTTTAGATAAACTTTAATAGTTGCCCAAACTTTATATTTTTACTGTCAGGTTGGGGAAAATGTTTTTGATCAGAGCAAAGCTGAAGCCTACATACCCCTGAAAATTAAAGATATGGTAGATTCCCAAAGCGTATTTTGGAAGTGGCTTTAAGGCTTGTGGGGACATTTTCATTTACAGTATTAATGGAAGTAAGGTTAAGCAATTTCTTTGCCCATATTTTTACTTTTCTGAATAGATGAATCCATGCAGTTGTGGCTTTCAATCTGGAAAGGCTGATTCTTATATATCCCACTACAATTTTGAACATCAAAATCAAACAAAATTCATATATAGTTGTCCATTCATCACCTGTTCCGTAAGGTCTCAACCTTTTGCCACCTTCAATCCCTACGCACTCACATCCTCACTTTCCACAGCAAGCACAACAGAGACAAACCCGCCCAAGTTCCTCAGGAGCTTTGCCTCACATGTAACCTTCCTTTGTGCCTGGAAAAATTCTGTGAATTAAGGGAACTAAAGAAGCACCTTGAAGAGCACATACGTAGTGGATATGCAATAGAATGCCCACTTGCAGCATGTACAAGTTCTTTTACTAGTGTTAATGCTTTCAGAAGCCATGTCTCTAGATACCTCAAAGAGGATCATGGTTTTGCAACAGCATATACGGCTGGTCACCCAGATGAATCTGGTGATGACATTGATGTTGATGCGGTCACTGATGAAAGCCAGGAAGACATCCAAAATGACGGGAAAGATTTGGAAGACACACTTTTTGAAACAGGCTGCTCTGTTCTATATCCAACTGCAGGCTAAATATCATATGTCAAAAAGAACGATACAGTTTGTGACTGACTTTGTTTCCGAACTCCATTGTCATACTGATCAGTACAGAATTCAACATTTGAAAGAGTGTCTTCTCAATGATAGTTTTGAAAAAAAAAACACTGTTAAAGAAATTGTTGAAGAACTTTAAGAAAATGATATTTTTAAGGAATGTCATGAAAAGATTATGTGTTCAGAACATTGCAGACAGGGATTGTATAAGTCTTTATTCAAGTACATACCAGTAGAACTTTTGCTGGGACGTAATGAAAAGAACAACAAAAACTGCTTCATGCACTATGTTCCTATCAGAAATACTGTGAACAGACTTCTGGCAGAAATGTCTGTGTATGAGCAGTATAAAAATCCTCAACACACAGAAGATGGTATTTACTCAGACTGGAAAAGTGGTACATGTTTCAAGAATACATGTACCAGTACAGGTGCAGATGTAGATGTCATCATCATTCATTCGGCTGCGGAGCAGGCGACCACAAGTTTCCTCCAGTTGATGCGATCCTGGGCTAAGGATGTAATTTGGTCCGGTTGCAGGTAACCCTCATGGTCTCCAAGAAGGCTCTGGATATATCTGGAATATAATGTTCGCTGTCGGCCAGGCTTTCTTTTACCATGTGGTGGAGTGTACATTGCATAAACCTTCGCCGGCTCATCGTCGGGCATGCGCAGAACATGCCCCAGGAATTTCAGCTGGCGGGTTCTTAGCTGGACTACAAGAGGGACTGTGTTGGTCAGGTTGTAGATTTGTTGTTTTTGGAATTCTGTCCATTCGCCTGATGTTCAACATGATGCGGTAACATGATGTTGCAAAGGCGTTAATTTTATCTTCCATATCATGTGTGATGATCCATGTCTCACAACCATACAAAAGTACTGTCACACAAGTTGTTTAAAACAGCTTCACTTTGGTAGATATTGGTATAACTGATCTCCTCCAAAGGTGTTCCAGTTTCCAAAATGCTGACCAGGCCAGAGCCTTTCGCCTCTTCAGATCACTAGCACTGGATCCCATCATGGATCCCAGGTATCTGAAGTCAGTCACATGGCTGATGGGACTGCCGTAAACTTCAAGTTTTGGCTCATGTATTCTGTCTTGGTGACACTGATCGTAAGACCAAGATCTGCAGCTGCTGTAGCAGTCCTGGAGAGCTGTGACTGGGCCCGAGATGTTGATGATTCTAGTAGGGCAATGATATCGGCAAAGTCCAAATCATTCAACATCTTGGCTTGATGTCTCCTAGATCGATGTGGGTGAGTCACAACTCCTGAATCTTCGGTTGACGAAGCCGCCTTCAAAAGGTAGTCAACAATTATGATAAATAGGAAGGGAGCGAGAACATCGCCCTGAAGAACTCCAGTTGATACTTGGAATAGATCTGATATACTTCCATCTACCATGACTGCACTGCTTGAGTTGTACAGAACTTGGAAGGCGTTAACCAAGGGCTCAGGGATGCCGTAATGTCGCAAAACGGCAAACATAACAGTCCTGTTAATGGAATCGAAGGCCTTCTTGAAGTCAATGAAAGTGACTGTCAGTGGGAGTTGGTATTCCTTGAAACCTTCCATAATCCTCCTCAGGATATGTATTTGCTGAGCACAACTACATCCTGATCTGAAGCCGGCTTGGTTGCTCCTCAGACGTGGCTCTGTATAAGAACGTATTCTGTTCAAGAGAATTTTGTTATGAACTTTTGCAGCTATGGACATGAGTGAGATACCCCGGTAGTTTGTCATGAGAGATAAGTCACCTTTCTTAGGCAAGCGAATGATGACATTTGATACCCACTGATGTGGTGAAGATAGGGTTGTGTAGACTTCAGCACAGAAGGCATGGATGGTATCACGCCACCTCCCTGCAGTGCTTCTGCTGTGATAGCGCAGTCCAGTGCTGCTGCCTTGTTTACTTTCATGGCTGCTATAGCTTCAGCTGTCTCTTCACGTGTAGGGGGGGGGGGGTCAATGAAGATAGGCAGGTCCTCAGCAGCTGGTGGTGGTAATTGTGGTGTTGATAGACCAGGATTATTTAGAAGTGAGCTGAAGTAATCCTTCCACTCCTCGAGCAACTCTTGGTCGCTAGCAGGGGCTGATCCGTCCCTCTTCTTAACCTTGACCTTTAGCTTGGAGTTCTTCCCGGAGAGGGTGTGGATGATTTTCCAAGTGGTGGTGTAATTTCCGTTTTGGTCAGCTAGTTTTAGCTCCTCCATCTGCATGTTGAGTGTAGCAGCTTCATCAGCCTTGTCGGACTCATTAAGTCTGGTGTTCAGGTTCCTCCATCTTTCTCTGGATTGACGAGACTTTAAAATGGAGTACTTCTTCTTGGCATCATCCCTTTCAACTTTCAGTCGGATGGTCTTGTCTGATACTCAACTTGGCATTCCACAAGTCTCACGCTTGCCAACCACTGTCTCTGCAACTTCCTTGACCGCTGCTTCAAAGTGTGCATATCTATCTGTAATACTTGGTGTGTCTTCCACATTAAGAACTTGGAATCGATTGATAGCTCCAATTGAAACATCTCTCTCGTGACAGGATCCTGCAGCTTCTTCCAGTTGAACTTGGGTCTCTTGCAAGGTTTTCCTTTGCTAGTTCTCAGACTGGTGACAAGCCGAATGCTGACGATACGATGGTCAGAATCCAATTCTACCGAGTTGTAAGCACGGCAGTTGCGGAGAGAGTTGATCCACTTGCTGTTGATTAAGATGTGATCCAGATGATATACTGATCCGGCTGGATGAGACCAAGTCCACTGGCGGCTTCTTGGTTGTGGAAATTTCATTTGAGCAGGTCTCATCTTATGTTCCTGGCACAGGTTGACCAACCGCTCGCCATTGTCATTTGTGGTATTATGGTGGCAATATCCTCCAATAACCTCGGGGTGAGAGAGGTGACTGTATAGCCAAACTCTGGCATTAAAATCGCCAAGGACAAGGTGGAGTTTGTGCCTCTTAACTTGGTCTAGATAGTCCGTGAGGGATGTATAGAAGTCATCTTTGTCTGGCGTTGGTAAACAATCTGTAGGTGCATACACAACAGTGATGCTCAACTGAGGATTGCCGTGGAAAGATGCAGAGAGGATTTTCTCAGAGACGGATTCAACACTTTGCAGGCACCTTTAGATGTGTCCAGACATGAGTAGACCCACACCTCCTTGCCTCTGTTTGGTTGCTGAACTGTAGACCATGACCCAGTTTCTATCGTCTGACCAAATTTCCTCTGTGTAGTTGGATGTGATGAGCCTGTGCTCTTGGATTCCGATGATGTCAACGCCTGCATCTGCACAGCCCATGAAGAGTTGGTGAATTTTACCTTTCTGATGTAAAGTACGCACATTATATGTAGATATAACAAGAGGTTCGAAGGCAGACAAGCGACCTTTATCAAGACCAACAGTCCGGGATGTTCTACCGGTTTCCCGCTGGTCCGTCATGGAGTCGTCTGTAGACAGCCGCCCGGCTACCTTCATAGTTTTACGCGGATTCTTCTTTGTGGTTTTCGTAATCGATTGGATTGCTGGAATTGTTTTAGTCCGGATCCAGCAGCTGCACGGGTGATTGGCCCTGAGACAGCTTGTTCCCGGAGACACAGCAGCCGAGGTCTACTGAATATGATGTAGATTGCCTCTGGTCAGGAACATGTTAGCCAGAGGTGGAGAAATAACTTATGATGACATGTTCAACATCAGTCCAACTAGACTAGATGGGTTGCTGATCATAGCTAACGAGCCCCACCTGCCCGGGTTTGAGATCAGAGTTCCTTCTCCTAGGTGAGCTGCCTCCCATGGCTGACGAGCCCCACGTGTCCGGAGCAATCTGGTTTTAAGGCGCCAGACACTCGCCTTTCACACCTCTGCCATCGGTTAAAACAGGGGTCGGCGCGCGAAGCCAAGCAGTAGGAGTTTGATTAGGAGAGGCTATTAGAGACGCTAGCCGTGTGGGATACTTCATGGATAGGGAGTGGCTCAGTTCTCCCTACCATCCCGGCCATTCCTAACCCTTTGAACCCTTTGATGTAGATGTACCTTTGCATATCATACTGTTTCAAGATGCCTTTGAAGTAGCAAATCCTTTGGGCTCTGCCAAGAAAAAAACATAAGCTTCTTGGTGTTTATATGACAATTGGAAATGTCCATTCATTTAAACGCTCAAAAATAGGCCAAATGCAGTTGGTACTGCTTTGTAAAGAGTCATATTACAAAATGTTCCCAGAAAAAGTGCTTGATCCACTCATAAAGGACACTTAGAAACAAATGGAATTGCAGGGCCAGAAGGTCAAAGGATACACTGTTACTTGTGTATGATATGCGGAGATAACCTTGGTTCACATGGTCTGGGTGGATTTTTGGAAAGTTTTTCTTCTCGTTATTTCTGTCGGTACTGTTACATCACTAAAGATGTGTTCCATGAAAATCCTACATCTGTTGGAGATCGGCGAACAAAACAAAATCACCAGGAATGTATAGACCAATTACAAAGTGACCCAAATGGCGCACATGTAAAAGGAGTCAAGGATGATACAGCTTTGAACAAATTGAAGTTTTTCCATGTTTTTAATGTATTGCCACCCTGCCTTGGCCATGATTTGTTCAAAGAGATTGTGGCATATGATGTCATGCTCATTTTGAAATACATGATTGAAACACAATGTTGGTTTTTTGTTGATTTACTTAACAAGAAAATTAATGAATTTTCCTTTCATGGAAATGATAGGAATGATGTGCCAGTTCAAATAAGTATGACCTCTAAAAGGCTCACTGGACATGCCGTTCAGAATTGGACTTTGCCTCAATTTCTACCCCTTTTGATTCGGGACAAAGTGAACACAGATGATGACATCTGGCAATTGTTGCTGAAACTGAAGTTAATTACAGAGTTAGTCACAGCAACTAAAATATCCAGTGGGCAAGTTGAATATCAACAGTTTTGTGTTGAGGAGTATTTGTCTGATCGTGCAAGGCTGTTTCATGACTTTACGTCCGAAGCACCACTATCTGGTGCACTATGCAGAACTTATACTGTGCTTTGGACCACTCATCTGGGTTTGGACATTGAGATTTGAAAGTAAGCATAAATATTTCAAATATTTTGTATCATCATCTCAAAACTTCTTAAATGTCACAAAGACTCTCTCGACAAGACATCAATTGTTGCAAGCCTCTTACAGCTCAGGTTGTCTGTATCCTCCAAAAGTGAAGGTTAGGAATGCGACTGCATTTGTAATGGAGCACTACAATGATCAGTTTGTAACCTGCTTGCAGGCATGTTCGAAGTTGAATCAAGAGTGTGAAGATGCATCGTCTATTACACATGATGTAAACTTTAAGAGGAAAATCTCATTGTCATGCCTGTGTGTTGCAGCCAGTTTGTTGAAATGGGAATTATACAGTGCATACTTCTTGGTGAACAGTCAGTGTACTTCGTTGTCAGTCGACAAGAATTTGAGAGACACTGTTCCTTGGGTCTTTTTCAGACGACTTAAGTGTGTTTGTGCTGAAGATTTACCGTATGCCTTCCCTCTTGAAATTTACAAGAAGTTTTGAAAGGAGTTTGTTGTTCCCAAAAGTTCATTTCTGGACTAATAGCTAAAGTCTGAAGCATTCCTTCTTGCAGCTCTCTTCAGCAAAATGAATGTACAATCTCAGAATACAACCTCCGTATCATCCGAAACTACGAGGACAAAATAGACGACATCCACAACAGAAGCCGTCGCAATAACATTGTCATACAGGGGGTGCTTCAGGGTTCCGAAGCTGGCTCAAAGTCCAGCGAAGATTTCGTCAGTGGGTTCCTCGCCAACCACATGCAGCTCGAGGGTGCCGACAGCATAGAAATCGACCGTGCACATCGCACGGGCCAACTACCTGCTACACCCGGAACACCGCTACCAAGACCCATCCACTGTCGACTTCTCCGGTATTCAGATAGACAGTTCATCCTCAAGAGTGCTTCCAAACATCTCAAGAATAACAAGTACAAGGGACACAACATATTCATCACGGATGATGTTACGCCGAAAGTGAGAGCTGAGCGTAAGGAGTTGCGAGAAAATCACCTGCGACGTATCCAGAAGGTCCACTTCGCGTATTTACCGTGGTCGGTACCAGCTTTGATCCGGTGTAAGGTCCGAGATGGCCCGTTCAAATCATATTGCCTTGGGGGAGCTGCATGATCGACCACAGTTTTCATGATTTTCTGTATACAAATGTATTCAATGCAATATTGTTCTCTGTTATACATGTATGTTGTTTCTGTGTTGTTCTATGTGTCCTGGTGTAAGACGGCATATCCCAAATGTTTACTCCTATTCTATACCATTGTGATATTCAGTAGTTTGTTGTATGCTTAATTATTTGAATGAGTCAAGCAATTCATGACTCTAGTATGAATAACAATATAGATTTGAATTAAATCTTCAAGTACCGAAAATTCCCTGTCAATATTATCGTCACCGTTTTCACGAACAGCCACATACTATATATATTACGTTGATTTTGAAGAAAAGTGTTTTCGAGATAATCGCAAAAGAAGTTTCTCATATTTTAAAACTTCAAGAAATACTACTTTGCAACAACTTTGTGCAGCAAGGAAACCATCACACGATTCTACGAGAGCTGAAGTTTTACATGAACCCGGTAATAAGACTTAATACAGCAGTTAATTAGTAAAAATTATTAGTAAAGATATGTGGCTCTTCGTGAAAACGCAAATTCAGGTTTTCGAGATATTGGCCCTTTCCAGATGTTCAACGTGTATTTCCATAGGCGCGCGTGAGTACGCGCGCGCGCTGAAAATGTAACAAAGATATGTGGCTCTTCGTGAAAACGCAAATCTCACTTGACCTACTTTTACGTATTTCCGTGCAATGGGTTTTGTACGCGTTCAAAGGGCCAAAATGTATGTGGCTCTTCGTGAAAACCCAAAATGCATTTATCGAGTTTTCTGCCCCTTGCAACATTAATGTAACTTAGAAATTAATGATGTTTTGCTTACAGAAACATGTCAAAATGGTTAAGTACATTGTTTTAATGCGAAATATTGAAAAAAATCAAAATCGAAATACAATTATTGACATATGTGGCTCTTCGTGAAAACGGTGACGTTATGACCAAGATGACACCAATACTAAATTACTGCATATTAATGCTCGTAGTTTGCCCAAAAATATAACAGGTATTGTTCAATATGTAAACTTATTGCAAACAAGCTTTTCAGTCATAGTTGGACAACTCTAATTCATGCATATTGTGGCGAAACCGACCCCTGACACTATTTGTGGCGGAATCGGTCATTGGCAGAACCCGGGGGGGGGGGACTGGTCTTATTTATCCCAGGACTCTAGCCGACTCCTATTATCCCACAAAAATATTTATTAACCTTGCGCAAGGATGAGCGGTTACCCTGACGCAAGGGGGGGATATAGTTAACGAACGGTGGACTTAGCCTAGGGGCAGTTCGTTTGGTGGAAATTTACCACCGTTTTGTGATTGTTTGTCTCAAGCGCGAACAGAGCACTAATTAATTATAATAACCTTCACAATACTTCAAATAATTATCACAAAGACAAATAATTTCAAGTACGATCAATAATATTGGTCTTATTCTCTGATCAACTATTCAATAATCTATATATATACACAATCAATCAATTTACACACTTATAATACACAGTTCTAATATTTCCTAATATCACAAATAAGCGTCAACTGCACCCGTTAGAATGATATAGGGTTACAATAATCTTCACGTGGTCAACTACACCACGTACAAAGTAAACGGGTATATTAAATCTCGGTGGTCAACTGCACCACTTAATAATAAACCTGGAGTCTCTACATAATACAAATCTCTAGTCTAATTACCCTTATCTAGATTTGGTGGACCTCAATTACCCTCACACAGAACCTGAACCTGGCTCAGTTCAGTGGAAGCAAACTTCAACAGGACCTCAATTACCCCTACACATATGTAGTAGACCTCAATTACCCTTACACAGAATAAATGACCCTCACAGAGATTAATGTGGACCGCAATTATCCTTACACAGATTTAGTGGAAGTAAGCTTAAAGTGTACCTCACAGGAACTCAGGGTAGAGTCAACCGGTCAGGCAATTTTGTCCAGTGGTTATGCGATCACCCTCAGCAGTCAGGCCCACCGTTCCGGTGTTCAACAGACTACAAGCAATTCCACACAACCCAAAGTCCTCCCAGCCTTCAACCAATTGTTTCCAACTCCTCCCTTTTGTTCCAACACTTATCCAACCCACTAATTACCCTGACCCACGAGTTACGATGAGCTGAAATTGTAATAACAATTGTCTCAACTACTCCGCAGTCTTAATATAAAAACTGCTGCACAACTGATCGCACTGAAGCTCACCTAAGCTCCTTTGATCTGGGTCGCTGCAATTTTTTCCGGCCACGGCTTGCGTTGTCGGCTCTTTTTGTTTTCCTGCGATAATAACAGTTATGTTAGTCTCGACGCCATCTTCCGAACTGTTGTGCGCATGCGCGAGTTTCATCAAGAGGTCACTGTATAATGAATATGCATAAGCCGTGACCCGTTCGCAAGTTTTGGCGCGACATGAATGATAAAAAGAGCAAATGATACTGAATATTCAACGTATCCTGAAAACATTCGACCAATAACAGTTCCTAAATACTTATAATATTAGAATACGACACAAAAGATGTTGTAAACAGTTCCTTTCCGCGGGAAATTCGGTGTAAATCTCCGCACCGCCATTCTCTTGCGCTCGTCGGCAAAGTCATTTTGTGTGAGTTTTTAGGTCTCTTTTTGAACGAAAGTGAATTTTATTAAGCAGGAAAAGGTCACTGGTATAATAAAAGAACATGGATTTGTATGTTGACAGATTTATGCAGGAGCAAACCCTCTACATTTGCCATAAAATGGGGGATTCCAAGGGCTTTTTTTCACGCGAGTGCAAATACGGGCGTAAATGTACATGTACATTGTATATAAATATGTACGGCCGGCCGGCCGCACGCGTGTACATAGTACATGTACAATACGTACGTCTGCTTTGTGATCGCTTCACACGCAATTTCCTTTATGAAATTGGGATAAAATGATAGCAACAAAGATAGACAAATGTAATAAGGATCAAAAGGAAACCAATCAGATTTTCGTCCTCTCTTTTTATTTAATTATTGAACATCACTCCAGGTCTTTCTGCAAATATATTCTGTTGTATAAATCAGGGTTGAGACTTGGAAAAAAAATTAAAATTTTAATTCATATTTCATTATAAGAATCTCACATTGTTTTATACATTTGTATCTTTTCAAGACAATGAGTATCAACACCAGCCAATTGCTCTTAGAATCTTCCTTTATTTACTCCCAAATCGTCTAAATTAAAATAAAAGCGACTCTAAAAAAATCTACAACAATTTCATTGCAATGTACAGTACAATTCTTACTCTGAAATCACAGGATCATTGTTTTCTAATCTAAACCATAAACACGATGCCATGTTGGTCTCCACAGCCCTGACAAAAACGTTTCAACTAATTTTATTTTGCTTGACCTAAAAATAATTGACACCATAAAACATCAGTACAAGTGAATTTACATTGTTGAAGTTCACTTTTTTTTTTACTCTAGATCAAATCAAGATGAATGATCAGCACATCAACAACCTTGAAAAATTGTGCAGGGTGTGTGGCGGCATTGTACAAAAATGGAAAAATAAAAAGAAAACCCTGAAGTGATTTAGTAATTATGCAGACAAAATAAAATCCAAATATCTCATAGATGTATCTGCAGACGAGCTACATCGTCATCCCACACAGATTTGCCATCTCTGCTATTCCAATCTGTACCTCCCCAAAAAACATCAACCTCCTAACGAATGGCCTCCCCATCCAGAAAGTGGAACATGTGCCATATGTGCTAAAGTGAACGATGACAAGACAGGTCGGCCAGCAGCTAAATATGCCAGACTGGAGAAACTGGATGGACATGAGCAAGCAACACAAGATGCAGTTGTTGAACATCTCAACAACTTGGCCATGACAACAACAGCATTTTGCAGGGACAATTTCACTACTGATGAGTCTACCATACGCTGTCAGATATGTAGCAAAATTCTTCACAGACCGGTTGAAACCCAATGTCAGCACATTTTTTGTTTAGAATGCTTGCATAGTTTGTTCATTGGGGCCTCATCCTCAACAGTGCTTTGTCCAAGTTGTAAAAAAAAAACACAAGTTTGATGGAGACAAAGCCTGTCCGCAATTATTTCATCCACACCATGGAAAATGCTAAAGTTACTTGTAGAACATGCAGAAGGGGTAGTTGGTTGAAAAATACACCAGAACACAACTGCTTTGACCCACTGACATCACAAGAAGTTGATGAGCACACATTCCAGGATATAATGAACAGGAATATATACCAAAACTAAGCTTGTAAATGCCTATCAAAAAAATACATGTTCTCTGCATGAAAAAAAAATTCATCATAAATAATGCAGTGTCACTATCTTATTTGTTCAGGTCGTCACCCATGCTTGTGTTGTACAATAACAAGTAAAGCTATGGCAATGAAGAAAGATGATCGGCCCCCTTGCACCCCAAGAAATCTCCAGACACTAACCCAGGATCACAACAATTTCACTGAAGCTGGAAGTTCTATCAAGAATGCCAAGAATTTCTACAATGTTATCGACAATAGCTTCTTTGTTGTTCCTATCAATTTGGTAAGTGAGAGGTAATCTGAAATGAAAATATGATAACTTCAAACAAAACAAATATTGAATCAATGTAAATTTTCAGCTTCCTCATTTATGTTTTGAAGGTTTGTCCCCCATCCCTACACGTAAGCCTTGGTGTATGGTTCACGCTTTTCACCCTCTTGGAGCAGGAATGCTGTACACTGCTTGAAGGTATAGCTGAAACACTGGCACGAGCCCCAGACAAGGTGCCCTCCTTACCCAATGGCCCCCTACCATTGCACGTGGCCAAACTCTCCGAGGTTTTTGCTGCCAGGGACAGGGCTGAGGAGATTCGCGGTCAGATTGATGACCTCAAGGAACAGCTAGCAGTTGTCGCGCTGATCAATGACACGGTGGATGTGCAGGATGTCACTGTGGAAACTGGAAAAGAGATCAAGAAACTAAATGAAGAATTAGCCAGACAGGTATTTTGCTTGCCCACAGATCATTATGCATTTTCAATTCCATAGCTACATGTGTTTGTCTGGCATTCAAGCTTTATTTACTGAATGTTTTTTAAAATCTATTTTTACAGGAAACAATAGCATCAGTCGCAATTCAACCAATACCTTCAAGAAACAACCCACTTCTCATAAAACTTGAAGAGACACTCCAAGAAATTAAAGTCAGACGCCAAGCTTACTACTCCAACACATTCATCGGCAATCATGTTCATAAATGCCTGAAGGTATGGTACATGCGACGGAAATACAATGGAACTTTATATTTATTCTTCACAAAATTTGTTGTAAATGTTAATCAAATTTGAATTTTTTTTACTACAGGAGGTGAACATACAAAACCTAACATCTTCAATCGTTGATGAAACGTCTCATCTCTGTCCAGCCAAGCACAAGGAGGCAGAATGCATCGCAGGGAAGTTTTCAACATTGTTCACACTGTTCTCCAAATGCCACAATGTTTACGATGCAAGTAGACACCTGGATTTGACAGAAATAACACAGCTTGGTAAGTGAGCATAACTTGGACAGGTAGAATGGATAAGTCAATATTAGAATAAAATACAGCAGCATTAAAAATGTAAATATACACACTTGTATTTATTAAATAAACGATTGCTTAAAAATCTTAGTTTACGTGTCAATGCACAATAATGATGGGCTACAAACTACCTTGTGCTTTTTTCTGTCTTCCTGCAGAGCATGACATCAGTACATTTCTGGAATTCTTTCGCTGCAACTTCCTAACAAAAACCATTCCTCCAAAAATGCACATGATGGAAGACCACATGATACCATTCATTCGTCGCACACAACACGGGCTGGGGCTGCTAGGGGAACAGGGGGGGTGAATCCATGCATGGGGTCTTCAACACACTCAACAGAAGATTTGCCGGCACACGCAACACACGGAAGAGCGATCCAGACCTCTTCAAGCTGGAATGTGTGATGAGGGAACATCTTCTCATGGTCAATCCCTCCATCAGAAATCTTCGTCCATCCAGGAGCCACCGTCAGAAGCGGAAGCACTCCCCAGCCAACTGAAGTCATCCTGGTATAGTCATCGTGAGCCTTCAACATGCCTAAAATAAAATGAGCGAGTATTAAAATAAAGTGCCTCATAATATAGTGTACTGATAGAATTAATTAATTACACAGCAGGGCCTAACTCAGAAATAGAATCTCATTCCTGCCAAAAAAAAAATACTAAGCCATCAAAAAATGTCCATAAAAAAATGCACATAGGCCTATAAAAGTATAACGATATTTACTCAATGGCGACAACATGGCTGGCGGTGACACCTTTTCAAAATTGGCACGGGCATTTAAACTCCTTGTGCAGTGCAGCCAGCTGCGTGCCGCAGCACATTGTAAATGGGTATGCTGCAATATGTGGAGGGTTTGCTCGTCCAATTTTGCGATTCAATCATTGAAAAGAGGTTAAATATAACAGGTGCAGTCAATTTTTCTGTAGGAAAATTCACTTAATGTAGTAAATGAAGAGAAAATCTACTGAACAATCACGAAAACATCAAAAACTCACGGTAAGAATCTGTTGACAGGTGCTTGTTTCGCGAATGATTTCACTTCGCTTGATCGACCGAACGAGCATAAAACGAGGTCAGCTAGAATCACATGACCCTGGCATGTCGTCATCGACACAAAATAGTCCTGAATATTCATTTATTTTGCTAAAGGAGGAGTTTGTTTTGTGTTTGTTTACATCGCCGAATCGCTCATGAATATTCATCACACGAATTTCGTCAACAGAGGGCGCACTGTATGCGTGCAAAAGCCGCGCGTGCGCAAAACTATTTGTCAGCTGGAAAACAGCGGTGGCCCAGACCTGTGCAAATAAGCGTCTGTGATTGGTCAAGGCGCGCACTATTAATATTCATGCTCTCGACGCGCATAAATAATTCATGAGTTAGACTCGCTCCAGGGTGTACTACCCTGTTTCGCCACAATATAAACTGATATATCTCATGCATGTGTGTACACAACAGGCAAGCTGAGGAGGGCCATCAAACAAACAAGGCAAATACGCGTGCAGGGGGTTTGTACTGTGCATATTGAAGAAAAAGTGAAAAGCTCTGCATTTTGTCATTTTTGAAGCAGATCTTTTTTTTTTCAAAAGGCATTTATGAAAAGGGATAAAATATGTTGACCTGGTTATTACCAATCAATTATAGCCTTGGGGTCATGGCCACTTTAATAGGCCTCACTTTCAGCTTGGTCTATTAACGGTGGTCACAGGTCTTCTTATTGAGTACTAATTTTTTTACGATGCCTGGTTATTAAAGCTGTTGACGTTTTTGTGTTTTTTCTTTGGCATGCAGATGATATTGTAACACATGCGCCAGACATTGCCAACCTTCTGCACGAGGTTCAGTGCAATACAGTACCTGTCCAACCGCAGAATCTCTCCAAAGAAGGTTGCTTAAAATTTTAAAGTTTGGTTTCATTTTCTGATTTATTTCTTAACAATTTTTTGTGTTCATCACTTAACATCAGTCAGTTATGTTTGTATTTTGTTTAACTTACTCTTGCAAGAAGTATTTTTATTAACCCCATCTCAATAATTGGCACCCTATTGGATTCAACAAAGTCTTGCACTTTGTAAGCATGAAGCCTATCTTGCAATTACAAAGGAAGTACACTGAGCATACGTGCAATTTTGTTTCAAAAGATAATACACTGTCCAGGTGATCCAGTAAAAATGCTTTCATAAACTGTCCAACAAAATGCAATGGCAGGAACATATTGTTGGATCCTGTTGAGTTTGTTATGGGTAGTTTCAAAATAATTCAATTTAATTCGTTGAATTACATAATTTACACACTTTGTTAAAAATATATTGTTCAGTACTAATTAGGGCATTTTTGTAATTTAAAGCTTCACTTATTTCAAAAAAAAATTGAATGTTTCAATATTTTCTTTTTTTGCATTTAGATTTATCCAATAGTATTAACTCTGTTGGCTACCCCTTATGACAGAAATATTTAATGCATGCACAGAATGTAAACACTAGTCTGGCAAGCCTATTGGCTATTAGCCTGGCACAAAGTTAAACTGGCTGAACATTGTTTGATACCAACATATATCCTGTATTTTCATTTTTTGATTGATTAGGTTTTCTGTTTCCTTGTTTTTGGTAATTAATGGGCTTTCACATCTTCCATTACTTTGTTTCTGCTTGTTGAATTTTTTTCTGCTCAATTCTCTGTGTAAATGTTCATTTTGAAGTTGGTGTTTTAACCTTAATTATTAGAGGCAAATTCTTAAATCAAATTTGAGGCCGCATATTTCAAAAGTAAACAGCATAGTGTAAGATCTTGGACACAGCATTAAGATCTCAGTGTTGGTTTATTGAGTGCTCATAACCAAGTGAAGAATACATACAGGAGACAGCACAGAATATTGGGTGTTGTCTTAAAGGAGTCGTATTACAATGGGTTCTCATTGGCCAGTGGGAGGTGGTCTGAGGTGGTCTGATGTGGTCTGATGTCTGACCATACTTCTGGCCTGACCTACAAGTATATATGTATGTCAAGGGTCACACATGTGTACTTACATGTTACATCTCCCTTTTTACAAATTCAAAACATTTGAATTGAATCTTAACTGAACTATGTTTATATATTTTTTTTAATACAATTATAAAGCATGTCTCCTGTTTTAATACAATGCTGTAAAATCATCAATAAATCATTCATACATTATTTATGATATTATTAGACATTATATGAGCAACATTAAATTTTAACAGTTAACATGTACTGGGTAGTAATAATACATCAGTTGTTTTTTGGGGAAGTACATTGGAGAAATCATCTGCATTTCAAAATTATCTGTGTTTGAATATCAATGCATTTCCATAATTTATCAGTGTTGCTCTTAGTTTGCTTCTTTCTTTTTCTTTTTTTTACTTAGCTTGCAAATCGATTCGGTTCCTTCTGTAGTTACCTCCTTCTGATTCAACCAAGTAACTTCTTGGAAAGTTCAACTTCTTTAGAATAGTTGCATTTTTCCATGTTCTTTGTGGGGTACGCATTTTAACTTGTTCACCAATTTGCAGAGGTCGAAGATTTTTGGTGCCTCTGTCAAAATATTTCTTCTGATGTTGTTGCTTGATAACCAGTTTTTCTGTTACTTGAGGGACAACCTGGGGTTCTAGTAATTTACTAGATGTTGGAATTGTTGTCCTTGTTCGTCTTTGCATGAACATTTGTGCTGGACTTGCATTTAACCCTTCGACTGGTGTGTTTCGATGGTTAAGCAATGCCAAGTATGGATCTGTCCCATCTTCTTTGGCTTTTTTGAGCAGGTTTTTTGCAACCTGAACAGTCTTTTCAGCTTTTCCATTGCTACGAGGGAAATTTGGTGATGAAGTTACATGATTGAATTCGTACTCTTTTGCAAAATTCTGAAATTGTTCACTGGAGTATTGCGGTCCATTGTCAGAGATTACTGTTTCTGGAATTCCATATCTCGCAAAGTGTTGTTTGCAAATGTTGATCACTTTTTGACTTGTTGGCATTGAAGTCAATTGGGTTAACGCAAAGAAACTCGAGTAGTAATCTACAATGAGCAAATAGATCTGCTTCCCTGGTAGTTCAAACAGGTCTGTTGCTATTTTTTGCCATGGGCGTTGTGGTTTTTCATGCCCCAACATTGGCTCATTGGTTTGTTTTGGTTTGTATTTTGCACAGGTCTCACAACTTTCTACCAACGTTGTTATTTGTTTTAGCATGCCTGGCCAGTAAACAGTATCTTTTGCCAACTGTTTGGTTTTCTCTATTCCTTGATGCGATCGGTGAACTGTGCTCAAAACATATTCTCTCATTGTCTTCGGTATCACCACTCTGTTTGACTTGAACACTATACCATCTTCTACAGTTAGTTCTTCTCTAATGGTCCAGTATTGCCGCAAGGATTTGTTCGTTTTGTTTATTGTTTCTGGCCAGCCATCTAGAATGATTTGTTTCAAGTCTTGCAATTCAACATCTTTCTCTGTTTTTTGTTTTAGCTCATTCAGTTTTGTCTCTGACATAGGTATGCAATCTACCATACACACAGGAACATCTTCATCTGTCGTAGGTTCAGAATCTTGAAGGTAGTTTCTGCTCAAAGCATCCGCTACATGCAAGTCTTTTCTTTTGACATATTTCACTCTCAGGTCATATTTCTGTAGTGTTAACAGCATCTTTTGTAACCGCATCGGTGCTGTATACAGCGGTTTCTTGAATATTGCCTCCAGTGGACGATGGTCAGTTTGCACATTGACAGTGCGGCCAAAAATGTAGTTGTGAAATTTTGTGCAGCCAAACACTATTGCTGCCAATTCTTTCTCAATTTGAGCCCATCGTTTTTGGGTCTCTGTGAATGCTTTGGACGCATATGCCACTGGAAGTTCACTTTGCAGTAATACTGCACCTGTTCCTGAACTTGAACTGTCAACACTAAGTGTTACTTCTTTGTTTACATCAAAGTATTGTAGAGTTGGCGCTTGAGTTATCATGGATTTCAATTCCTGAAAAGCTTTCTCTTGTTCATCAGACCAGAACCATGCTACATCTTTGTCGAGCAATTTTCTCATAGGTGCTGTTTTGTCTGATAGGTTGGGAATGAATTTTCCAACGTACGTTATCATGCCCAATATTTGTTGGACACCTGCTTTGTCTGTTGGAGGTTTCATTTTGAGAATTGCCTCGATTTTTTTTGGGTCTGGTTTCAGACCGTTCGCTGTTATGACATGACCCATGTATTTTACTTCACTCTGATTAAACTTGCATTTTTGTGCATTCAGACGTATGTTTTTTTTCTTGACATCGCTGAAGCACTTCCTTTAGGATTTTGTCATGTTCTTCTTGAGTTTTGGCATGAATTAAAATATCATCCATAATAACTTGAACACCACTCATATCACAGAAGGTTTTAGTCATGATTCTTTGAAACATTTCTGGTGCCACATTGATTCCAAACGGGAGTCTGTTGAATTTTTATCCCCCAAATTCAGTATTGAAGGTACAGAGGTCGGCACTCTCACTATCTAATTGAATCATCCAATATCCACAATTTACGTCAAGGGTACTGAACACCTTTGCGTTTGCCAACTGATCCGCTATTGCGTCAAGTGTGCGCATTGGATAATATTCCCTGAGCAAGGCTTTGTTCAAGTCAGCTGGATCCA